ATATCTTTCCATTAATTATTTTTCTAAAATCCCTGCGTTTAAACGGAACAGGAATAAATGTGACATAACACCTTCCTTTATAGTTTATACCAAGATCATCAGTTCGTTAACTGTAGAGAGTATCACATGAATACTTCAGATCACGGTAGAAACCGATGAGTTTTAATTTTGAATTTTTTGAAAATTTATTCTAATTTAAACATTGAATCTTTCTCTGAAATATTCTAGAAAAATTCTATGCAAATAGGCGAGTTCGAAATTCAGAATACTTACACTACAATTTTAAAGAGATATCAAAAAAATTAATTTTTTTAGGTTGATTGGTTAATCAAAAAAACTGAGAAATAATAATTGGTACCACTATATTCTCTTTGCTAAGGGGCAAATTAAAGTAACTAAATTTTAATTTTTAACTACAAATCCATTTTTTAAATAAAAATTTATTTTTGTTTTTGATTCTGTTTGCTATGCCGCGTTTAGTCTGGGACACACGGTATATTGCTGTGTGCAATGGCGTGCGGTCACTACACCGCCCACAAAATACCTGTCCAGCTAGCTCAAATCAAATTAAAATTGAAAGTTAGAATTTTTTATAATCTCTCCTGGTGTACATCCGGCATATCCTAATATTGACTTAAAACTTCTCAATTTGAGAGACTCGGTAGTCTCAATCAACTTCCGAAAATTCCAAAGAATTTATTACACACATTTTGATCAACACCGGGAATAAATCTTGGAATAGGAAAAAAATTGACATGAAAACTCTATCAGGGTCGCACAAAGTATTGGAATACACACAATTAATTGATTGACAATGGCAAACAAACATTTATTCCGAAAGAAATGAAACAATGAAAACAAAATCCCTGCAAGAAAGAAAAGCTTACAAAGCTTGTTTGCACATAATACCCCGCAGCAAGCGGTCGTAAATAAAAATTTAAAAAAGTTCAATTACTTGCAGTTTTTTCGTTAATAATCGAAATAATCTGGTCGTAAAAGGTTTGTGATATTCCGGCCCACTTATCAAAGACACAAAAACACTCGCCTCGTTTTTACGTTGATTCCCAGTATTTAAAGGAACACCACTTCCTCCCGCTACTTCCTCGGGATTTTATGAAACGCTACCAATTACAACTACACTTCACAACGCCAGCTTCGAAAGACGCGTTCCCACTTACACCTAACTAACGCGCACATCGCAACATCTGCATCTTCGTCATCTCTTAATAGCGACAAGACACGTGCGCCAATCAAATTTCGTCCGATAATAAAACCTCTTATCGCAACCTACCAGATGTCCCTACATTTTAACACGCAAGTTCACGTTTTAAGAGCCCTATATAGTCTTCTTATTGTTTCATCCGATTTGCATATGTAAGTCAGTTGGCACGATTGGACAAAGAAATCGGGAGTATATGGGTAGAATCGGACGTACTTGCACGTCGTGTAAAATAGCAACTTGACTTGGATTTTCGTCCGTTTTCCTGCCTTTCGATCGAAGGTGTGTGAGCACAGTCCGTCGGGTAATTTCAGTGTCGTTGAAGCCGACAGTGGGTTAATTTAAATTGAATTCGTCTATCCGCAGATAATTGTACCAGTTGCCCGATCCGACCATCTTTCGTTCATTTTGAACGACCTCTGCGTCTGTTTCTTTGCTTTCGTAGCACTAACGCAGCTCTCGAAAACAATCACTTGGAGGAAACTGAAGTTGCTATTGTTATAGCCAAAAAGTCTTTATACTCATTCAACTGAGATCAGGAAATTTTCATTTCAAAATATTTTCTTGGTCGCACTGCCATGATACTTACTGTAACGTAATAGTTATTTACATAAAAGTCCGGAAAATGACACATTACTGGCGAGATAAGAGTGAAGTGCGAGGCCCCTCTGGGGCCGAGTACTTTAATTCCCCAGTCAAGTAATGTCAGTTTACTGACGAGTTTTGTATTAAATTTTACCCAAAATCGTATTTTAATATAAAATTCAATTTGTATATAAAACTTTTGATTAATGTCAATCTGTCAGTGATGACAGGAGTCCATTATAGACGTTTAGTAATGTCACAGATGCGGCCGGTAAAGTAACGATGGGGCCGGTAAAGTGACAAGCGGCAGGAAATGTAATCTGATCTGTCTCTGTCATGGAAATTAAAATTTCCTGGCGGAAAGTAGGCTTGAAAATGAAAGTTTCAGGACGCGAACTATTTATTACTTCGGCGTTGAAATTGGAACTGTGCTGCAACGCAATTCGCTTTGCTTATATAGCAAAGTCGAGTAGTCTCGAGAATAAAACACGTCATATTTCCT